CTGCACCGCACCAAGCAGATGCTAAGCTATGCTGATTGCCAGCAGTCGCAACCAAGCAGGGTTGGTGGGTTTCTGAAGGAAGGAGGATTCGTGGGGAGACGCCTAAAGCTCTGGCCGGTGAGATACTGCGGCCGGCAGTCGCAGCAACATTCGTGCACCGAATGCTGCAAAGGCTGAGTCACAGCCAAGAGGGGAACTGCAGGCAGCAGGATTGGGTGGAGGGAAAACACCTAAATATTTGCCCGGTGAAAAAATAACTCATGCTGTTGCCATCATTTGCAGCCGCAATCGCACCGAATGCTGCAAAGCTCCGCTGCACGAGCAGAGGGAATTTCGGGGAGGGGGAGGGTGGAGGGAGTTGCGTGGGAGCGGGTTGCCAAAAGGGGGTACCATGTACTTAGTCTGAGCTTACGGCACCTATCCTGACCCGCGGCTTTTGCTTGTTTCAGCCGATTCAGCATCGGTCATCCCAACAACATCCATTATCGAACTATGATGACGTCCACTCAGACCCCTTTCGTTCCCGCAGAGCATCCATGATCGAAACATGATAACGTCCACCCAGACTGTTTGCCACAAAGCATCCATGATCGAACCATGATAACGTAGACAGGACGTAGACTCAGACACCGTTCGTTGCCGCAGAGCATCCATGATCGATTCATGATAACGTCCACTCAGACCCCATTCGTTGCCGCAGAGTATCAATGATCGAGCCATGATAACGCCCACTCAGACCCATTCCTTGCCGCAGAGCATCCATGATCGAACCATGATAACGTCCACTCAGACCCCATTCGTAGCTGCAAAGCATCCATGATCGAATACTGATAAAAGTACAAGTGTGATTCATCTTCCACGAACACGACAACTGCACCGGACATGAACGGACTTTTCATTTTTCTCTTCCAAGCACACAGAACTCTAAGCTAAGCGTTATGCTCTCCATCATGATCAATAAAATCTTCACATGTTAATCCCTGACAACACCGTTCCAACAGGGAAGCATGCAAGACTGCAAAGGGCTGTTTTTGCGAGGCAAACAGTCTTTCCGACAGTGATGATGTCAGCAAGCACGTCTACGACACCATCCCAGCATGAAAGCACTCAAGACCACAAAACGCTGTTTTTTGCCGGAGAAGCCATCTCTCCGACTACAATCTCCGAAACCTTCTTTTCCTACGCGTTGCTGCTTGCACAAAACAACATGTGAAATTCCGCGGAAACACACATTAATTGGTAAAAACCACACTCTGAAAACAACCACAGATCCTGACCCGTATGACAAACAACCCACCATGTCAAGATTACAATGAAGTCCGAATTACAGAAATCTGAGCCGAACACCGTGGCGATAGAAAAGGGCATCAAAGCATGCAAGTCTACAAAACTGTGTTTTTGGCGAGGGAAACAAACTCTCCGCCAATGAGAATCTCACCAAAAACAACTCCGAAAGAGAACTTGCTTGCGTGCTGTTGCCTCTCTCTGCAAAAATGATGGCATTTTACCCGGGAGGACGCATTTGTAGCAAGAAGCATATGGCGCCAGAGCGGGTCAGGATAGGTGGCGTTACCTAATTTAGCCCCCAAGACGCCTGAGGCATGTGGCCTCGGTGGATGAGTTGTACACCAACACGCTCACGGCATGACAGTGATGCGTGCCACAGCCATGAACGATGAGAGGGAGGTACTAACCAAGTCGACATGATGAAACTGGCATTTATAGAGTTATCCTGACTGGGAACAGTCACACAAGCGCAGGCATAATAGCAATGGGTGCGCAGCTGCGCAGCTTCTCTGTTCGGTTGGCGTTCACCGAGATTGTCAGGCAGCCTTCTTGGAGGGTGAGATGATGCGAGTGGTGTTCCAGATTCACCAGGCTGCTGCGGCCGCATCTGCCTGCGTGTATGCATTCGGAATTCCTGGCAGGACCACCTGTCCTCAATGCACTTGTGCAAGACATCCTCGGATAAAATCTTCGAAAAATCTCTGGAGCTCAACAGGTGCAGCTTCCGACCCGCACCTTCAAAGTTCTTTCGGGGGGGTTCGTTGTCTTCGAACTATGTTGGGAGACTGGGTGTTGACGACAGTCTGCATCTAACCAGCCAGCATTTCTCGACAATGGCTCAGCATGTCTCATGACAGGTGGAAAGAGGCATCACAGGTGTTTTCCTTCCCATTTCCTCACCTTGGAAGGCTCGGCTTCTGCAATGCAGCCAGCCGGGCCACAGACTTCCTGGGAATCTTTGCAGATGGGCCGGACTGCGAGAAGTGCGCCTTGCGGTTTGGAGCACCAACACGGTCACCGAAAGCTGCTTTCGCCAGGGTCTTCACGATTGAAAGCCTCTCCCTCTTGCAGTACGAGGAAGACCCTCACAGTTGCATGGCTTGGAGGTTTGGCTGTTTTTGAGGTCACCGACGAGGGACAACATGGGGACGCGGGCAAAGTCATTTGTTTCTTTTGACCCAGGCTATCGCTTGCTGCCAGCCTGGAGCTTCAGACGGAATCGACAAGAGAATGCTGGTTCCAGTCTTTGCCTGTCTTCGTTCTTTCTTTTGTTGAAGGTTTGGCCTGAGCTGAAGTCTCGTGCTGAGAGGCAGGGCTTGCCATCTCGTCGAATTTTACGCTTGCCTGAGCTGCCATCCCGCTTCGCCGCCCCAGCTCCAGGAAGCAGCAGAAGTGCTTCCTGGTTTGTGCAGGTTGCTGTGGATGATCAGCGACGGCTGCAACAAGCAGTACACCGGATTGACGCCTGGCCTTCTCGCTTGGGTGTGGATCCATCTTGCAATCTTTTCGTTCAGACGCGGAGCTCTGCAGAGCTCGCAAGTCCTTGTTGGGGATGTGCAGAAGGAACTCAAAAAATCTGGGGGCGCTGGACAGCCGGGCAAAGGCGCTCGGCTGCGTCTTCACTATGCTGGTCAGAGCCCGAAAACAAAAAGATACGTACAATGAGTGTCAGCTGCATCGCTGAGTGCTGTCGCATGTGCTCAAGTTGCGGGTCGGCAAGGTCCACGTGACTCAGCCATCAGTGCGGCTACACCCTCATTCTGTGCAGCCACTTTCATGCGGCCCTTGTTCTGACAAGCCTTGTCGAAACGAACTTCAGGACCCGCGGTATGAAGGCATGCAGTGCAATCCTCAAGTCCATTGACCTCCTCATTCTTCGGCCGGAGGACAAGGCATGCGAGGGCCAGTGCTGTCTTCTGAAGCTTGAAATCCGGGCTCAAGTACCTGACAGGGAGCCTTGATGCCGCATTTGGGAAAGCTGGTTCGCCTCTTCGATTTTCTCATCAGCATGGAGATGTCGGACCAGTGCCCCAGCAGGAAGCGGGTTGCAGTGTTCCTGGCCTCCAGAAATAGGCATCCTGTTCGGTGAGATCTTGTCAAGGCCCACGTGTGGGCGGTTCAAAGACAGATCGAGTGTGTTCATCCCATTTTCGAAAGAAATTAGGAGGATTCTTTTTCCCAGCTTCCTAGCAGTAGCGCTCTTGACCGCGTGGGAGCCGGAGGTACCTCTGGGAGCAGGCCTGTGTGGTCCCTGCCTTGGTGGAGGGCTTGCGTTGCTGTCGCTGCGGGGAGCGTGACGCGGCGAAGTTTCATTGATTTTTTTAAAGGTTCATTTGCTGGGACACTGTGTCGCTGGCGACGAACATCGATCTGCAGAGTTGTTGATGTTTGACAACACCATGTTCAGCGTCGGCCTTCAGAGCCTTGACTGTTTGCAATTGGTGTATTGCGCTTATGCTGCGGTGTTTAAGCCGACATATCATGATGGAAGAGAACGATGTGGCGTGTAGTAAATCTCCATTGCAGCAACCTCGGGTATGCTTTTGCATAAAGCTAGCAAGTCCTGACATCGGCAGTCAGCTTCCGCGAAGCTTTCCGTTTGAAAGCTTCCGTAGATCCTCCAGCAATAGATTCAATCGCATTCACGTCGCCGAGTTCGGTTAGACTAGCACTCTAGGCACTCTAGGCCTCGTCCCGTCCACTCTTGAAGGGACAGGCATTCTGTGCAAGACCCGGTCCTTTGCACTTTTCTAGGTGAGCATGAATGCTCACTGACGATGTAGCTACGTAGCTGGTGCTGGTTTCACACAACCAACGATTGCTACTCGTCAACTGACTGCTGCGACTCAGTAGAATCTTAGTGCCTGAGTGGGAATGCTGCAATGCCGTTATTCGGACAGGCTGTTAGGAGCATGGTCATAAAATCCATTCTGTCACAGCGTTGGTTGGCATGTCAGTATATTTCTTTTTTGCTTTCGCCAAGGCATCTTTACCAAACCGGTCTGTCACTGTGTTGCCTGACCATCTCTTAAGGCTTGCTTCTGAAAGCAATGTGCATGCCTGGTTTAACCCGGATGTGTCAGCTCCATGAGGTAAGTGTTCGGTAACGAGAAACATGTGAACACGTATGTCAGAGGGTATGTGGCACCCATTTCCTGCACCTGTGAACACTTGTTTCTAGGGCTTGTGAAGATGTATTTCAGGGGCATGTGCATAGTGATTTTGCAGGGGCATGCGAACATGTATTTTGTTGGCATGTGTGCTCTCATTCTAGAGCATGTCCATCCCAATTTCCAAGGCATGTGAAGACTTGCTTCTCGTGTCCTGTGAAACCTGTGTCTTGTTTCGTGGGAACACTTACTTATGGCACATGAGCCTCTCCTTGATTTCAATGGCATGTGGACTCTTTTTGTGACGTGTGAGTGCGACTTCTCCGACATCTGAAGATGCATGCTTTTCTGGCGGCATGTGAATGTTCTGGTGTCATGTGAAGATTTGGTTCGGCGGCATGTGAGCATGTATTTATCGAGCATTTGAACACCAATTTCGGGTTTTTTGGGGCGATTGAAGACTTGCGACCATGGAGAAGCGGGAGAATGTGGTTTCGTGTCGCTTTCGACCCAGCTGTGCGACAGCTCTGTCACACTTCATCGTTTCTGGGCCTGCTTCAAGCGTTGCAGCTTCTGTTGTCTGCGGATGCTCAGTTGGAGAATGCGATGCATCAACAGATGGTGGTGTCAACTGTTCACGATCCCAGCTTGAACGTCTAATTTGCCAGCATTCGATGGTCGACCGTCCATTCTCGTCATCGTGTGCTGAACTCGTGGCGACCCCCATCGCGTCAGGTGCGGCTATGGGTGCACCGATCTCTCCCTCTCTCCGTCTCTCTGTCTCTGTCTCTCTGTGTTTCTGTCTCTCACTCTCTCTCTCCCTCCCTCTCTCTGTGACTGGCCAAAGCCTTTGGTTCGGCCACTATTGCTCCGTAAGGGCAAGTCCTCCCTCTCACCAGCTTTCAGGCAGCCCGAAGTCTGTTTCATCTCGTCGTCTGCATCACAGTGACGTTGGGCGCGGGGTTTATAAGAGAAATGGCGAATGAGTCAGCGTCTCCCCTCCTGAACTGCGGCCCCGAGGCCTTCCTTTGAGACCCTGAAGCCGGGCTTAGCTCAGGGACCGCTTTCCGGTTCCCCACTTAGAGGGACTCGGACCTACGATTCCAGCATGTCGACCTGCAGCCACAACATTTACAACCGACACCAAGACGCCGCAATCCAAAAAATCACCCAATGCAGTGTCCGACAAATCCCGGGCTCGTTTGGAAACTGAAGCATCCGGCAATTGGGGTTTACGGATTTAGGGCTTAAGGGCTTGGGGCTTAGGGTTGTTGAGAGTGCAGGGTTTGGTGGTTTGCATTAGGGTCTACACAGGCGCTAGCACTCCGCTATGGAGTTTGTTATAGGATGTAGAAGGTATCTTTGGACGTCCTCGTTTGCATGCCCATGTGGGGTGTTGTCGGTCCCCTACTCTGCGAGCATAAAAGTCTCCTGCCCTGGTTTCCAGTGGTAATTCCTGATACGCTTGTCGTGCGGTTGCTGTTACTCCTCGCGCGAGTTCCTGTCACACGCGTGCGAAATCGGTTTCCGTTACTCCCGAAACGGGTCCCGTTGCTCTCCTCATCCGGCAAATTTCGCACGTTAGTTTTCGTGTCCAGAGGCGAGCAGATGGGCCAGCGGTGCAAGTGGCACGAATCAGTTGATGGCACGTAGCGATGCGAGTTTGCACGTACACAGCACCGTTGTATATCATTGCAGCATTACATGTTCAGACGACGTTCGTATTCCGTCGTTCAAAAAACATTTTACATGCGTACTGCTATACTTCAGCACATGTAAAGAGTTCGTGTGACTCTTACACCACATCAACGATGCAGTGTCACAACATCGGTCCTAGTTCGCTTTGCAGGAAGGTGATACACATTTGGAAGCGTGGTCTTATGTGGTTTTGTTGCATGTATTCAATCACCTTCTCCATCTTTTTCATATGGAGGTGTCAGTCTTGAGATTCATTTGTAGCATCTTGCACTTTCGGGCATAAAACATTACTGTAGTCATTTTAATGATGTTTGTATCCTCCTGCCATTGCTATCTCAATTTGTGATGCCTTTTGTTGGTTGTTATCATAAAGTGTCCGAAACCCACTTTCATTGAGGGTATACTGTCAGATGAACGCCCAAAAATGAAAGCGCCCCCGCCAAGAATCTGGTCAGGAACTGCCTCAGTGCTGATGCTCGCAGAGCTCACCGCGATAATGTAATCGCAAGAAACGAGACCGGATCGACGGAAGTGAACAGCACAATTCGCCTACAAAATGCAGCTTTGTTCTGCTTGTCTGCACTCGGCCTGCCACAGTCGTCAGCGGAGTTGCAAGATAAAGGATGCATATTGGAGAAGAAGGAACGCGCAGTCGGTCGACTGCACCCGGATGATGCTGCACGACTTCTGCGCTTGCTCGGAACGAAGAGAGATGGCGAAGAGGAAGCAGTGGGTGGATTACAAGCACATCCCGCTGTTTTTCCTGCTTACACCCTTATGTGTGTGGTGGCGTTGAAGCGCGAGCTTTGTATCAAGGCCGCATCACCGAGCTTTCAAGCTCTTATCGTGAATGAGTCCAATCTTCCGAACGTGTATGTGAGCCTGGAAGACTTCACCGTGTGTGTACAAGTCCGCACAAAGTCAGGTAGGCTGGAGTCAGCACAATCCTCCATATCGATTGTGGACCAGGCGATGCCAGTAGCAGTGACGGTTGTTGTGGATGGGTTGCTGGTCTTCCTGTATTTAAACGGAAAGGAGGCGCTGGACCAGCCCAAGAGGCTTTCAGACTATGCCGCAGAGGTCCAGGCCGGTGAAATTCTCTGCGGCCGGTCGATGAAGGCCGTGCAGGCCTTGGAGCGTGGGGAACTTCGCAAGGAGGAGGATCCGGTCCTTGCAGGGGTGATGCTGATGATGCGCTTCTTCCCGCGCGCGATGGTCGCCTACGAAGTGGACTCCAAAATGGGAGTGGCACGCAGCCAGGCTGCCAAAGTGCTCAAGCGGAAGCCGGGTAGTGCATCCGATGAAATCCCTCTAACCGTGTACAACATCATTGAAGTGACTCAGCTTGTCATCCAGTTCACGCATGTTCAGCTCAGCGACGAGTCTTTGGCAGCCATGGGCAAGAAGAAAGCCGGACTGCAGGAGGTGTTGGACCCCGACACTATCATGTGGATGGTGCTGGCACTTGGCACAGCTGCCATCTACCTCCCGCACCAGCATCCAAAGTTTCTTGAGCTGATCAAACAGCCGTTTGTCAAGGTGATGCAAATGATAGCTGGCATCATTGATGGTGCGAGCTCCAAACAGCAACTTTCCAATTACGAGCAGGCATTCATTGCAGCTTGTACGGTTTATGTCGCATTTGTGCTGGCTTCGCCGCGTGGCAAGAACATAATGCAAGACGACCTAGCCGCAAAACTGATCATCAAGATGAATGCGTTCAGCGACAGTCCTATTGACTTTAGCGACTACGACGCGAGACAGCAAGCAGAAGGATCTCTCGGGGTTGTTCGGTCTCTGGGGCAACTCGGGTCTTGTGCTTGAAGCAGTTGATCTCAAGTGGCTGCTGAGGTCATCAAGAACTGCCAGAGCGTGTCATCCAGGGTTGCAGTGCTCATCTTACGAGCGAGGCAGGAGACCCCCGCAACGCTGGCGCTAGTCCTTGATGCTGTCATCACCCGAATCGTGAACGAAGATGGCGTCATATTCAAGGAGGCAGGCAGTGCAGACTGCACACAAATTTGTCGGCGTCTTGCGTCATCTTGCGCTTTTGTCTGCATGTTCGCAGGACCTGCAGGAGTTTCTCGTTGACCAGGGTCTCGGAGCCGTGGTTCAGGTGCTCCACTTCGTGGGGAGGCCCAATGCTTTCGAGTAGCCAGGCTGTGCAGAGAGCTCGGACTGTTCGCAGGGGCTTGTTGAACATCGAGCGTCGTGAGCGAGATCGAAAGAAAATGACGGCTTGGCTTACCACCGGTGAGAACGAGGAGTCTCTACGCAAAAGGCCATCAGCCAAACTTTTCCGAGGTTTTTGTGCTGTCCTTGCAGGAGCGCGCTCGACAAGAGAAGGCTGATCGACTGGCCCTAGAACAAGTGGGCACCCTTGCGGCGCGAATGCACCGCCAGCTATTCCTACAGCTGCATCACGTCATGGACGAGGCACGGCTTTCTTGCTGTCGCATCGGTCGCAGATGTGCAAGTCTGCAGGGCGATCGTGCGACGGTTTATGGTGTGCGTGCTCGGGGAATACATATGGCAAGTGCAAACGAGGTCTGACAAGACAGGGCAGTCTTCTTCGGTGAGAGAGAAGGATGATTGCAAGCAGCGTTGGGCTGGCAGGGTCCCGTAGATTCCCCGCCGTACGGGACCCACGTTCAGTACATCATGTCAAAATCGAACCGAAGAAATACCAGGCAAAATCATTGTGCAGCTGGTGTCGACATCTCAAGACACCTCGTTCACAGTTCCGTCCGTGCACTTCCAGATGCTCGCAATCACCACATGTGAGCTTGCAGTCATTCGCATGCAGCAACTAGCAAGAGATCTCCTTCGGGCATGGTCCTGCTTTTTTGGCAAATTTTGTAGGGACATGGGGTTCCGAGAATTGGTTGAAGGTGGAATGTGAGAGCCGTAGTGCACGAAGTGAGGCTCAGGACAACATGAGGACACAGGTTTTCAGCAACTCTGACCTTGTTTCAGCCCCGCACGAACACTGTCATAGTCTGCAGGTGATCCACGGACTGCCCTTGGACGAAGTATCTATGCTTAGCTTGGCTACTTGGCATAACGAATTGTCTTGGAACGCTGAAGCCTTCTTCGGCCACTTGACGCTCACATCGGATTGGGTTGTAAGGCCAGTGCGGGGTTGCTAAGACATCGAGTTGCTCAACTCCCGGGCATTCCTTCCTGGGGACTTATGCACAGAGATTTCCGGCTTCTTGGAATCGTTCTGAGTTGGCGCTCTGTGCCAGCTGAGGTTAGAATGGTCGGAACAGTGCTGGAGGCGGTGCCGGCCTGCTGCAGCCGTAGCCGAGCAGGGGTTCTAGGCTGGCAGACAACTTGCTTGGTGCAGGTCCCGCAGGTCATTTTCCTGCCGGCTAAATCACTGCGAGCAGAGCGCATGCAAGACATAGAGGTGCGCCACCGTCCTGATGTTGGCATCGAAGTAAGCCCTTTGCAAAGGAAGCTTGACAAGCTGTAGCAGGTCGCAGAAGGCATGCCATACGAGTGCTGGCGCAACGTTTCCGAGCTCTCCTGTGACAAGCTGCGGGTGCCCCCTCTCTTTCTGTCCTCTTCATTTTGACAAGTGCTTCATGGAGTTCGCGAGCTCTGAACCATGCCATAAAGAGATGTACTCAGCTTTTCAGGTTTGGACTGAGAAGTTCTACCCCATGTCTTTGCGGACCTTCGGCGAGGCGAGTGGTGCATCCAGATATTCTTGAAGGTACTTCGGGTTGTCTCTTCTGGAACTTCAGGTGTCCACCATGCTGGAGGACTTGCAGGAGCAAGTGGTCGTCCGTGATCGACGGCACATCAGTTCTCCTCGTTTGGAGATTGGAGCTATGTCGCTGGCACCTGAGACCCGGATGCTACACGTGTGACGTGCAAGTAACACCGGATGCTGCGTGCTTAGGCACACCAATCGTGCCGGGGCCCTAGTGCCGGTTGAAGGTTGGAAAGCCCTGGCAGCCGAAGACAGAAGCTTAGACCCGGCGACAGGCGACAGGGGAAACGCCGTGAGATGGAGAGTTCTGCAGCTGTCGAAGGTTTGGATTCACTTCCAGTCCTCTCAGCCAGAGTTCCTCACAGACACGGAGGATGGAACCCTCGAATCTGGTTTGCGTGCTGAAGTACTGCTTTTGTTTGCAGGTTCGCATTCTTCCTGTGCACGACCCTCCGCTGGAGTTGCCACACAAAAAATCAGGCACAGGTACATGTCAAAGATTCATGGAAGCATTCGACCGTTTTAGTCATCACTCATCACGCGCCATATGCTGCTGAAATGTACCTACCGACAGTTGCAGTGCAGACCGTCTTTGCATTCTGCCATTTTGCTGAAACCACTCTGCGAGGGACTTGACACATGAAGCCCGCGCGCTTTGCCAGGGCACAAGTACTGTGCTGAGCCTTCGCGCCTTGTGGCCTTCGCGAATGCGGTATTGCGCAACCCTCGCTTCAACGACGAGGCCTGGCAACTGACGCGACTATTGGCGAGCAGAGGCAGCAACCTGTTTACCAACGCAGGTGTATGCGAACACGGTCGTTCTTCTAGCAGAGCTGAATCTGCCGGAGCTCTACACATCCATGGTGCAGACCCTACCTCAAATTTATGAGCTCCCATGTGCTTACTATGGACAGTCCTGTGACAGGTGCCCCTGCTCGTGCAGACCGCTTTGCAGTCAGATTGGCTCTGCCGCCTGGTGTCCCATGAGCTGCTCCACAACGCCGTTCGACCGCACTGTACACAAGGAACACTGGCCTGGAGTGTTCGGTTTGAGTCGGTGGCAATGCGATGGCACCAAAAATCTCGCTGAGGTGCTATATCCAGACAAGCATCTGCTGCCATTGCTGTACGAGGCAGCTTCGGATTTTGAATTTTTTGTGCTTTCATCATGTCTTGCAACATCCCGAAGCAAGGTGCATCCTCCTGTAAACCCTGTTGCACATGACGGCTGAAAAGGTTCACGAAACTATTCGAGGTTTGCATTGCTGTAAGCGGTGAGGCAGTGCTGTCACCGGCTCCGGTGCAGACGAGATACGAACTCCTGGAGCTTTGCAGGCACCATGTCACACTGTTGTGACTGTTGTGGCTTCTTGCATGCCGCGTTGCATGAGGAGTCAGGAGCTTTTCAAACATAGCAGATCTGTTTTGTAGTGGGCAGCTGCCCATGGTCCATCCACTGTCTTGCCCGTGTGTGCAGGCGAATAGCGCACTCTTCCTTCACGCCCGCAGAGGGCTTCGAAGAGTTTCTGCAGACGCTGCGGAACAGGCATCAACGCACGCCTGTCCTCTGCTTGTGCAACAGCCTCCCTTTCAGGCCACCTCCCAAGCTTCTTCCGGAGGGCAGCTCCTCAACGCGGGCAGTGCCCACATCCATGAAGCCCGCGCACGATGCCGCTCGCCTGCTCACGAAGAGCTTGGAGTGAATCGATCTTCGGGTGTGAAGTGGACTACGCAAGATCGTTCCAGTGGTATCGCCACTCACACGCACATCCAGTGGTGTTGCGATTCTTTTTGTGCTCCTCAGAGTGATTCTAGTCTTCTTCTTCTTCGTCTGCTCCCTGGTAGTAGTTGTTACTGTTGCTACTGATGACAATCATGGCTATTGCTACCTTCATGTTGATCCAGCGAGCTCCACCAGGCGTGCGCCGTGAGTCTGCTCCTATCTTCGGCCCATGCCTCAATCAGCCTCAGAGCAATCCGTGAACACCGCTTACATAGGCATATATACTTGAACTCATTGATGAAACACAGACACACGTACGTGCAGCTGCAAGTACAGTCACGCATACATAATATATACATACATTACATTACATTACATTACATTACATTATATTACATTACACTACACTACACTACACTACACTACATTACATGACATGACATGACATGACGTTACATTACATTACATACACACTTGCAGACATGCGGGAATAGAAGGTGTTGGACTAGCAAAACGGTTTTTGTGGCCAATACCGGTTCTAATCACCTATTTCTTTCAGATAGAGGCAGGCAGAGACAGACAATTAGACGAAGGCAGGCAGACAGACAGACATTCATGATGTGTAGATGGTGGGGAGATCGTTCACCACAGGAAGGTGCTGCGTTTCGACTCAGAATGTCACTGATGTTAAGCAAGCAATGTGGGATGAGTTCATATACTTCTTCCATACACATGTGGTGAGTACAAAGTAAGAAGCTTCAGGAATGCCACGACCAGAGCAGATTCGAACATTATGCGAAACAATCCCATTCCAAACTGTCCGAGATCAGCACCGGGGTGCCCGAGGAGGTGCAGGCCAGAACGGGTCTGGCGGAAACACGAAGACTCAGGATTCAGGTAGCCATGAAGAGCTGTTGCAGGTTTCTGTGGTGGGGCTTGCTACGATGATCATTGCCCGCGACATAAACGCCTGCGAACAGGCGCTTTGGTTGAGACCTCATAAACATGTCTTCACTCTACCCTGTTGTTTGTCGGAGTGGCAGGCAATCCTGGAAAACCAGTACCATGACGGGGTGGTCGCCAGGGCCTCGAGCCAGCCTGACGGTCTCCAGGAGTAGGGCCGCAACTCATTCTTGGTTGAAGTGCATTCTAGTCACATCTCGTCAGGGCAGGCTGTGAGGAATGCCCTTCGTGCAGCGGCTTCATTTTCTTCCAGCAAGTCGGGGAAGATGAAGCTTTGGAACACATGAGGCATCATCAAGACAGCTGAAAGCAGTGGCAGCCGCCATATGTGCAAGGAGTTGGCATCGTAGTGCTTGCTTGGAGCACACATCTGTGGAGCAAATGGAACCGCGGCTGAGTCGCCGTGAAGTTGGGACATTGTCGTCCATGCGGTGATGTTGTCACATTGTGGAGACTGGCAGCTTTTGTGCAAGCCAGACAGTCAGCAACTTCCTAAAAGGCCCACAGGACATCTGCAAGGCACTCGGGGACGCTGCCTTGTTTCCTTGTTGGGAGGGTCTCCCGTGGTCTGCCCATGTCACGCGCAGAATTAGCAGGCAAAGAATCACATGTGACGGTTTCTTTTCAAGCAGCCCAAGTTTACGCTTTCCTGAAAGGTGCCGTGCTTTTGCTGTGACTGGTAGGGTTTGGCACTTCGAAGTTTTCCTTGTCGGCTTGAAGTTCTCTGTGTAGACTGACACACTTGATTTCGTGCACCGCAGAAAGCCATGTGCCATCACCATGGCAATCACAAGTCCGTGAATCAAGATGCATCGGATTCGTGATGTCTGTTGCCTTAAGATCACGTTATCAATTCGTGACATCGCTGAGGGGGGGGGGTGCGGGGTCGAGTGTGCGCTCGCGAAAAGGTCGAGGGTGCATTCGCTACAGGGTCCAGTGTGCGCTCGCTGATTTGTTTATAGGGCAGAGCTAAGGCTTAAGTCGCCAGGTCGAGTGGGTCGGTGTGTAGAGGTCAGGCTGAACTCTAGACCCCCCCAAGTCCAATGTGCGCTCGCCGCTTGGGTCGGTGTGTAAAGTGTGCAGGTCAGGCTCAACTCTAAACCCCCACAATCGAAATACCGTAAATACCCTGAACACCCAAAGTACCCTAAACCCCAAACCCTAAAGCCCGATTTTTCGTACTCAAGGCCAATCAGTCGTGGTTCAACGCCAATAATCCGTGGTTCAAGGCGCAAAGGGCTGATATTCCGTGGTTCAAGGCAAATCGCCGTGTTTTGCCTCGGACCACGAATTATCGGCCCTGTTTGCCTTGAACCACGAATTATCGGCTTTTTGTTTATCGTGGGATACGACAGACGGCAACCAGCACATACGAATTTTAGGGTTTAGCTTCTTTAGTCTATGCTACTCGTTCAATCGTGATATAAGATGCACACGACAACATGATATCATGTAAGAATGAATGAAACCCAACTGTGAATGACACTCGTCGATGTGAGTGAACGGACTCTTTATTTTCCAGTGTCATGGGATTCCAAGGGTGGGTGGGTGTTATGTCTAAATCGTGAATGTAACTTTACTTTAAAACTGCTCGACCCGGAGCTGCTGAACCTTAAAACCTAAACCCTAAATCAACCCTAAACCCTAAACCCTCGAACCAACAACCCTGAAACCCTACAATCCTGAAGCACCAAAACCTAAGCCCTAAAATTCTAAAACCCCACAGCCCTAGACCCTAAACCCTAAGCCCTAGGCCCTAAACCTTAGACCCTAAACCCTCAACCCTAAAACCCTAAACCTTGAACTCAAAACCCAAAACTCAAAAACCCAAACCTTGAACCCTAAACCCTAAAACCCTAAACCCTAAACCCCAAAGCCCAAAGCGCTAAACCCATAGCCCTAAGTCACTAAACCTGACACCCCACGCGCGCCTTTACTGAAAGATAAAGGATGCGCACTGGACCCTGTTTGTTCATGAATGCACACTGGACCGCTGAAGGAATGCAGCAGTAAATATGAGAGAGCGGGTGCCTGGGTTTCTTGATGTTGGGATCAGCTCGCATGTGGCAAGGTGGATGGCGACAAGCCATTCTTTCTGTGGCGGACTTTCGCTGATCTGGTTTCATCAAGGCTCACAGAAGCCTGACTAGCTCTGTGACTCTCCTGTCCACTGCGCCCACAGGAAGCGCGACTTGCAGAAGGCCACGGCTCGTTTTCTGAACACGCTCTTCTGGAGGCAGCCGCACCTTGGCGATGCTTGTCGGGAGACTTGCAGAGACCGTGCAGGCTTCCGCAAGACACAATCGAGCTCACCACGAAACCTCGTGGACAGAGTTCTGAAGAGTACTGGATGCCTGAAGCTCACCGTCAGTTGCGAGCCTCTTATCTAGCGAGCATGCAAACGTGATGCAGAGAAGCCTCAAAGTCTTCAAAGACCATAACCTTGCTTTCACGGTACTCTAGGCTTCCCCGACTTCTCGATGCTCTCGGACATCCAGACGACGAGGTGAGGTGTGACTGCCAGTGCAACTCCTTGCATCCCGAACCCTTAGAGGCTGTCGAGGACCTCCTGCAAGTGCTGTCGCCCCTCGCATCCTCTGTGCAAGCCGTGAAGAAGGAGGACCGTACTGCAGTAATGCACCAGACACAGCGAGTGTCATAGGCTTTTACGATTTCGATGTGGGTCTCAATCAATGTCTCTTGTGTCTTTTGGACCAGGACCTGGAGGAAGAGTTCGCTCATCTCGTGTTCGTCCCGCAGCCAGCTCCCCTGCAAGGTCTCCCAGTCCTGCTGTTGAAAGCTCTCAGTTTGCAGCAAGGAACACCCTGCAGCGAGAAAGAGAAACTCCGGCACAACGGCTTCTCCGTGAGGCATCGGGCGCTCCAGCTAGACCCGAAGAGGATTTAGTGACAGCCATGCCCGGTGAACATAGCGGAGTCTAAGTCCGGTGCCAGGGCTGCACCTGAATTGGAAGCATGGAAGCGGCGTAGCAGGCTGCTGGGATGATCAGCGATGGCGAGCGTGTGAGCGTCCCTCTGCCATGTCTTGCTGCACGGCGCCTAATCGGGACGAAACATCCAGATGATGAAGACCGCTGCGTGTTTCGTCATTCATGTCACAGAAACACCGGTGTGCTCGCCGATTTCGATGATTTCCGTTGCATGTCCAGCTTGAGTGCATCGGATGATGGGCATTTGAGTCACTCGAGTGTCTGCGGACCAGAAGTGTCAAAACTCTCCCTCCCCCTCTGTCTGTCTCCTGTCTCTTTCTCTGTCTGTATCTCGGTCTCTGTCTCCGTCCCTCTCCCGCTCCCTCGCCTTACCTCTCCCTCTCCCTTCCTAACTCTTTCGTTTTGTCTCTCACGCTCGCTCTCCTCTTTCGTCGCCGCTTGCTGAGCCAGGTGTTGGTCTACCTGCTGCGTCTACTCCGCCCCCGATTTCTGCGTCGTGCCCTAGTGCTTGCCCTAGAAAGCCTCGCAGACACTGCCCTCAGCACGACATTTCGAACTGAGGATTGGAAAGCCTCAGTTCGAGATTTCGTGTGTATGGCTCAGCTGGATGAGGAGCGGTGGCTGTGCAAAAGCGACCTGTCGATCTGCACGTCCACAAAGTGCTGAGGTTGGATCTCATCCTGAACGACCGCGTCTTAACAGAACTCACCACTGCGATGGGAATCGCTGACGAGTTCTGGGTAGTTGCGAGCAGCCCAGCTTTGGAAGCTTGGCGCTCTTACTACAGCCCTGCCTGAAAAAGACGCCGAGCCGTAGGTGGTTCAAGTTCTCGAGTCGGGCGGCCTTCCCGGACAGCGCTGGGTCGTCGGGAGCCTGGACACCGAGACGGGCAGATTGTCAGACGTCCGTCGCAAAGAAGTCCGCAGGCACAAACCCTTCGATGGCTCGTCAGGGCAGCCGAGCAGGCCGTGTGGAACCGAAGCAACAACCTCCGGAACTCCCTTGCCCAGTTGTGAGTGTTGGACAGGAAGCTCCTCAAGCAGAGGAAGGTGGAGAACAGGCAGCGGCTGCAGGTGTCGGCTTCGTGTGGTTGTGTGTGTCTGATTGTGACAGGTGGGTGACCTGCGGCTGGTCCGCAGCGCTTGCTCCCCCAAGGTCCTCGTGCCACTGGCAAAGTGCTCAGAACTAGGACAAGTAGGATGCTTACAGGGCTAATCATAGTTCAGGGACTAGTTTCGAAGCGGCACCCCTGGTAAGGCTCTAGCCTCAAAGCCGAAGGCATGGAAGTCTCTGAGCTTCTGTGGTTCTTCGGAGACCCCCTCCTGCAACTATGGGCAGGGTTAGTGTTCGGGGTCTCAGCACGCATCTGACGCGGCAGCCAACGAGCGTCTTCCTTCCCAGCAATGCAGAATCAGAAGACCAGTGTTTTGAAGCAAAGAAGATGCTCCAGGTCATGCACCTCTCACAGGGTGCACTTGCCAGTGCTTCCAGCACAGCGAAGCGTATGCTCGCCGCGTCACGGCCCGAGGCGGTACCGAGCTTTGCCTGTGCTACTACAACGCAACGCGCTGCTTTGGCTCCCTGTGGCTCGATGGCCCAGGTTGGAACAGGTGCCTGACTCGCTGCTGTCATTGCCTCCCAGCTCAGTGCAAGAGCACATTGCGTGTTGTGCATCCGTGGATGCTGCCCATGCGGCGCGAGCCGTTCCAGCTTGCTTCTTGTTCAAGTCGAAGGAGTCTCATGACATGTCACAATGCCTGCGGCAGTTGGCTCTCGGGCGGGCACGGTGGGGGGTGCGCGGCCTCCTGCAATGCCGCCCGCGCCTCAACCCGCCACTCCATCATCGCCATAGATAAATGATTTCCTGTTGTAGCTGGCCCAAGCGTGAGTCTGAGGCTGGGGACCTTGAAGAAGTTCTTCGCTGACAAGGGTTTTGGTTTTATTACACCTGATGAGCCACGACCTCGGCCTCAAACTCGCAACAGTGCAAGCCACAGTCGAATGTGGATTCCCTGAAAGTTTGCTGCAAGAGCCATACCGCGCCCGAAAGAACTTCGCTCGCAAGATTTGCAGCTGTCAGTCTATCTATCTCTCTCTCTCTCTCTCTCTCTCTCTCTCGCTCGATACTTCTGACCGCCCGGGGTGTGAGCAGGCACTTCCAGGAGAGTCCATGTAGATGATGCCAGTGGCACTCGGGATCCGAACTCCAGGGATGATGATTGCCAATGTTTTCCGTAAAGCTACCAGGCCTCCTTCTCAAGCTTGTTTGCGTCAGCTGGCGGCATCTTTGGAACCTTGCGAAGCAGGGTGCTTCTTCCCCTAGACAGGGTGTTGACGAAGCTGCTATGCCAACAAGATCTTTTGTGTCCGTTGAGCCATCGAGACTCGCGGTATGACCTCCAGCCTCTGCATCGGAATGGTTTTTTCGGTGGAGACTAGCAAAAGCGGAGAAACTCTGTCTCTCTGCCTCTCTGCCTCTCTGTCTCTCTGCCTCTGCCTCTCTGCCTGCCTGTCTGCGTCTCCGTCTGTCTGTCTGTCTGTCCGTCCGCCCGTCCGTCTGTCCGTCTGTCTGTCCGTCTGTCCGTCTGTCCGTCCGTCGGTCTGTCTGTCTGTCTATCTCTCTGTCTCTCTGTCTCTCTGTGGCTCTGTCTCTCTGTCTCTCTGTCTCTTTGTCTTTCTGTCTCTCTGTGTCTCCCTCTCTCTGTTTTTCTGCCTCCCTGTGTCTCCGTCTCTCTGTCTTTCTGTCTCTCGCTCTCTCGCTCTCTCTCGCTCTCGCCCAATCTCGCTCTCGCTCTCGCTGTCGCTCTCTGTCTCTGTCTCTCTCTCTCTCTCTGTCTCTCGCGCTCTCTGAGAAAGGTGCGAAGCACGGCAGCTAAAAGTTGTGTCGGAGTTGCTTATCCAACAGTGTTGCACGCTCCGGACAATGCGGCATTCGCAGCATGCGGCGTTTTCCTTTCAAGTTCGGTGCTTTTGTACGGGATGATCTGCTGCACTTACATTTTGCTCTTATCTCAGAGCGCCCTTTGCCACAGAACTCTGCTGCCTAAGGCCTGGTCAGGGAGACATCTTTGCGCCGGCGCGCAACCTGGCTCCTTTCCTGCAAGAGGGCACTGCAAGAGCCTTTGTGTCTTTGCTGCCGCTGTACCTTGAGGTAGGTTCCGACGAGTCCAAGTGCCGGGAGGGGCTCCGAGTGACTTTCGAGTCAGAGATCGAGGCTGGACCTCGCTTTTTCCGGTGGGGTTCACTACTACCGACACCAGTATTGCTTTCTTTGATGCAACGAAAGTGAGCAGTAGGCTCGGACGAACAAGCCGAAGGCAACTACCTGGAGTATCTTGGCTGGCTTAAAGTGTACAGCTTTGCTTTGCTTTGGATCAAGAACCCAGTGGCATTGTTCCTTAACCAATGCGATGACCAATGCTGCAAGGCATTTTGGAGGGTGTGATAGCAGCCGCGTTGCCTGCTGCACCAGGCGAGGTAGGGGCTGGTTCTATCCATTCATGCGGGATAGCAATTGCAAAAGATGCATGTTAGAAGAAGGCTGGTGACATCACGGCTGATCTTTAGGCATTCACAGCCTTCCAGGTAGAGGTGTTTCCAAATGATTAGCCATTTCCTGTCTAAGCTTAATCTGACAGGGGGCCTGGCTGGCTTGGCAGGCGAGGCCATCAGCAGGGGGGCGTTCACGACCCATCCGCGCGCAATCGTCAGGTGGCTATGGTGCCATTCCAAACGGGTATGTGGACTTGCTCCTCGGCCGTACTGGGTTCGGGAAATGGGTTGTTCCATGACCATGCATGCCTACGGCAGGCAGCGCTACTCTCCTTACGGTGTTGCTGGTCTGCAGGCCACTCGCTCCCCAGCTTGTTGGACAGACGTTCATGCCGAGTCTTGTGCAGATTCAGTACACAAACACAAAGAGACGTCACCAAATCTCGATGCAACTTCAATATCTGCTCTGCCTGTCCTGGAAGACCGCAGCGATGCCAGCAGGGTACGGTGCTGTTCAAGGACTGCCGGGCGGTTTTTACATATTCCCGGCACTGTTGCGGTGTCTGAGTCCACGACCTGATAGGAGCAATGCCCGGCATGGCCATGGGCGGCGTGGCGCTGTCAGGAGGGATGCCAGGTGCCCTTCAGGGGGCATTGCCAGCAGGCCGACGAATTCTCGAAAGCATGTGGAAAGCAGGCGTGCTCAAAGTCAGAGGGTTCAAGACGGTGACCTCTTGCTTGGAAGGCTACGCTGTCCTGCCCGGCACTGCCGGCCGAGAGCTCAGACAGTAGGCGGACAGGCTTCTCTGTGTATGTTTTGCTTCGATCACGCACGAATTCCATGCCTTGAACTAGTCGTTTTGATACTGCCGAGGTGTACAGTTGTCAGCGCCCACAGCAGTGCCTGCCTTGCCTCCGGGCTGGGAGCAAGCAGTAGACCCGGCAAGTGGCAAGGCACGCAGACTTGTCTGCGACGTGGTGTGCGACACCCGGTTGAGATTTCGCGTGCATTCGCATTCTGTCGCAGGTGTACTATGCCAACAGATCGACGGGCGAGACGAGCTGGATACCTCCTGCCGCCGCTCCGACCCAGCTGCCCCCGATGCTGGTGGCACAGACTGCGCCGGCAGCGGCTTTGGCCACGGCGCCAGCGCAAACACAGACTGCACCCGCCGCTGCTGCGGCGGAAGCGACTGCACCAGCGTCCGAGCCGGCGACAGCGCCTGCCGAAGCGGCTCCTGCGGAGGCGCAGGCGGATGGCACGACTGCTCCTGCAGAAGCCAGCCAAGCTCAACCAGCAGAGGTCTGGAGCTTGAGAAGGTGCATCCTGCCGTGCATTGTTGTCGCAACCTCGTGTTCAGGCACAGCCCGCGCTTCCTGCTGGATGGGAGCAGGGCGTGGATGCGACGAGTGGCAAGTATTGTGCTTAGCTCTACCTTTGCCTCTGGTGTCATTGTTTTTCTGACTGCATTCCAACTCCTGCTAAGGACGTACTACTACAATCGGGCGACCAACCAATCGAGCTGGACGATTCCCACAGCTTAGAAGCACATGTATGTGTAATTAACTTTATGCACCGCAGTGTTCGGTTCCCACAAACCTGTCCTTCCAGTACAAGCCAGCCGCTTGGACCTCTTATGTCTTTGTGGGCACTACTGCGATGCGAGGGCCAACACCCTCAGCGCGCGTTGGCCGATCCGCCGATGCGAAATGCAGCAAAACCGGCTGCCCAAGGTGCAGGCGAAACTGCAGTCAAGCCAACTCTTATTTTTTCGTCGCACCAACGTCAGCCTGTTTAACTGATTCTACTGCCCGACATAGTGCGTCTTTTCACTCTGCCGGCGCAAGTCGGAAGACTTGGCGCCCTCACAAACGCCCGGAGCTGGAGCCCTTCGTGAGCATGAGTAAGACGTACTCTGCTCCACCGAGGCAGGGACCGGGACCTAAACCGCTAGAATCCGACATGGGTTGACCGAGAGGTTTCTTGGGAGGTTTGGAACGTCACAGATTCGGCATGATAGTTTACATGCAGCACATCGTCGCTAGGGCTTGCACACGAGTTTGAGTCTGCCAGAACATTAGGCTTGTTAAAGTACATGTCCTTATGGCCTTAGAGCTAGTGCAAGATTCAGCCATATAGAGCGCTGTGGCGAGACGACTTGCACGCAAGCGCATGCGTCGCTCGGAGAAATCGGACAGAAGCGGCTGCGCAAGTTTCACAACCCCACACCGCGGTCCCTCCGTGGCCGAATCGCCAAGGCTGCGTCATTTGCCCACCACGGAGCAGAACTCGCTGCTCTCTGACTCCCTGCGACGGCTCCTGGAGTTGCTCGGACTCGGATTGTTTTTGAGTTGGGAGAGGAAGCTTTTCAAGCATCTCCTGTGCCAAGTTCGGCGAAGCTGCTCCGAACGAAAGGGCAGCCGGACGCAGCCGATTCAGTGGCAACCTTCGCATCAAGTGGCGCCGGCAGAGAATGGCTGCGAGTCGCAAAGCGGCCTTGGCCAAGTTCCATGCCAGGAATGATCTTGACCTATCTGTCGACTGGACTCGCCGGGAGACCCAAGCTTGCAAGCGACATCTTTGAGCTGCAGCTGTCTCTTCAGGTCACCGAATTGGTGAAGCGCTTTCCTTTAGACACAACACTCGCTGGGCCCTTGGGCCCTCGGGCTTTCCATGCAGGAGATTGGGTCCCTCTGCCAGGACAAGACCTTGGACGATGGGACGAAGATCTTCCACGCTTTGCCCTTCGAGGTTCCCGGCGCAATCAGTGTCAAGGCCGAAGCCTCGGCTGATGGCTTTCTGTGGGCAGGGAGCCACAGTGCAACGTTGAGGTCAGTGGGCACTTATAAATGTAGATACAGACGGAGATATACGACATGTGTGTAGTGTGCGCGTTTGTATTTACCTCGATGTATGCATGCACATTGTGTGCATGCAGAGTGCCAAAACTCGATAACGGCACAGCGATCCGGTAAGACGATACCTGGAATGCCGGTTCAACTGTACATGGCGCATACATGATCAAGAGGCATTTGTTGACAAGCCTTCCGGTGCCAGGATTGTGTCGGGCTAAACTATGGGGTCAGGGCTTCCATGTCGGAGCTGGCAACTTAGGGGTTGCGGGTTTAGGTGATATCCCTGCGCGTGTGCTGCGTGAGACTTGGCTACGATTTGTGCACAATTAGGAGCCAGGGCCTGGGGCCTAGAGTTCAGGGCTTCAGTGCCAATGGGGCCTGGGACTTTTTGGGGAGGCCTGTGCGGGGAATGAATTTCAGGGGACAGGGGCGGGTGGGCGGAGTCGGGGTTTGTGGTTAGGTGTTTAGGATGTAGGGTTTTTGTGGGGTACCGTGTCACCTTCGAGCCGGTTTGGGGTTTAGGGTTTCGGTTTTTGGAGTTTAGGATTTAGGGTTTACGGTTTAGGGTTTAGGGCATCAAGTACAGTTAATGTGCATTGCGTGTTGCAGCGCTTAGGCATGCAATATCGTTGTACGCTTGGCGTTCCGACAAGCTGCTGCCTGCACCTAGGTCCTATGCGAAAGCAAGAAGGCCATGAACACTGACATCCTGCTCACCCCGACAGGTGCGCCTGACTTGCATCAGCTCCTTGTGGATGATGCCAGTTTCAACAACCGGAGTGCTATGCGTCTGCACACTGGTCTGCATGTCCAGACAGTCGCCGCAGGTCCGGATGAAGCAATGTCAGTGGAGCCGTCGGCTCAGTGTGCTAAGCTGTTCCCCGACGCCTGCCCCTCTATCCGTGAATCGATTGAATGCCCCTCTGACACCGAACGGCGTTTCGCGTCGTACTGCTTGGTGCTGGCTGGCTGGCGGATTGATTGGCTGACTGACTGGTTCAGTGACAAACCGAACGACGGAGGATTGAAGACAAAGCGCGGGTGCCACTCAGCACACGAACAGCAGGCAGCGCGCTTTCGGGTGGACACGCGTAGCAGACCACTCATGAGCCATCCAGGAGATGTCGTCAAAGTCGCCTTCAAGCCTGGGTTTGCCAAGATTTCGCAAGGTCGGATGCTGTTGGAAAAGCAGATTGGTGTGTCAGAGAGCTGCTCTGCTAGCGGCAGGCAGAGTGTTTTGTGGCTTCGACCGGGCAACCAGCAAGGGTGACGGCAAAGAGGACGGCGAAATATGTAGCCGTGTAGCCGCAGCGAGACTGAAAGGGCCGGCTCATGTGGATTGTCCCGCTAGGAGTTCGTGCTGAAGGTGCTTCCAGTCTTCGTTTTTCGCAGCATTCCTCGCAACTCTGTCAACGACCTTCTCGTGAACGGCCACTTTGAGGATGGTGGCTTTGTAGCAGTTTCGACATGTGCTGACTCCGGACATGTCTTGCTGTGTGTCAAACAGCTGGTGCTTCGGGATCTTTCGGCCTTGGGGGTTTGTCGGGACAGGACATCATTGGCATGCTTCTCCCTTCCCCTGAGCACAACGCAACAGCAATTCGTGGTGTGCCGCTCGTGCTGGGCTTGGTCTGTACGGCAATGCAACCAGCTTGCATAGCTTCGTTCATATTCGACGCACGAGGCAGTGATCCAAGCTTGCAACTGGTGCTATGCCGTCCTGGCCAAGGATGCGCAACCCTGAACCCTAAACGCGCGGGCTGTGTATCGGTCGAGCGTGAAACATGCAGGAGTTGGAATCCAACGAGGACAAGACACCACTGGACGGATTGAATCCTGAGCGTGTGCCGGTGGGACCCACCATGATGCCCTGCCTTTCCTTGGGGCCCAACTGATGCACCGTACCTGTCAGGTCTTTCCATTCTTGCGTCTGGCACTGGACATCATCCATCGCCTGGAAGCTGCGCGTCCTGGAGATGCAGAGTTGGTCCAGCTCGCTTCAGGGTCGTGTTGCGACTTGCTCCATCTTGCGCTTGCGACATCTTGCGACTTTTGTTGCGCAGATGCCAGGCTTGTGTTGCTGGAGGAGCAGGTCCGAACCCGAGAGGCTGCAACTCTTCGAGTCTGAGGGCCGCATGCGACCAGGTCAGAGTGGCTGGAGAGACGATGCTGCTGCTGTCCAGTCACAGCCCCAGCGCAAGAGCAGAGGCGGGACCGCTGTGAAGCGCATGCGAGGAGTACCAGCTTTTCGGGAAGCCATGCCGTCGGCTTGGTCTTGGTGTGCCGTGGAGCGCTCTAGGATGAGCATAGCGAGGCTTGGGGGCTCGGACTGGGAGCACGTCCCTGTCTTTCTGGCGTGGCGACCTACATACTACTACATGGTTTTCGTGTCTCGTCCCCACGTTGCGGGAGCTTTGAGGACATCATGAAGCGGAGACGCCGTGAAGAGCGGGCGCCTGAGGAAGTGTGTGTTGAATCACAGGTGCGACAGGAGGCCAGCCTTGACGTTACCTGCAATCCCCGGGTTGCCCATGCACTGCAGGTGGATCAAGACCGTGTCATACGCCGCTGGGTTCAACTGGCTTCGCTGCCTTTGTGCATCCGAACTCCGCTGATTTGAGAGCAAGTGCGTGATCAGTGAACCGCTCGCGCCGAGCCAAAGCAAGGTGCTGGCGCAGCTTCTGGGAGTCACGGATGATAAGATGGAAGTCCGAAACAAGAAGCTGGCCTTTTGGCCTGTTTGGTGTTTGGAAGATGCTGGACCGTTGCAGGAAAAGTAAAAGCCGATTCAATACGGTCAGGAAATTGCAGCAGCGGCGACGGGGAAAGCTTCCAGGATGGAGATTCAAACAGTGGAGCAGGCAAGGGATTCGTGGCTGGCAGTACCTCCGCAGTGCGTGCTGACTGCTCTGGTAGGTGCTTGAGGAGGTTGTGCCATCACCGTTCACAGCTCTGTCTGCGGGGCATGTCTTCAAGATTTGTGCTGCTAATGCCTTTTCAGAGTTCTACCAAGTGCCCAGCTGTCGCCAGGTTGTTCTATGTGACAGCTGCAACGAAAGACGGCACGCTGCGACCGGCACATGCGAAGGCGCTGCGGCCGTGGCAAGCGTTCAGGAATCGTCGCTAGCGGCAGGTCCTCTACCATGTTGCCGAGATGTATGCCTTGCTCCTCTCAGAAGGCCTCGCTCAATGAAGTGCTTTGGTTTTTCGGTGGGTCAGCCACAACCCCAGAATTGCGAGGCTGGCAGCCCACGTTTCAGGAGACGCAGTGCCGACCACATGAGTTCATGGAGGCGTCACTCTTGCAATCTCTGTTTTTGCTTGGGTTGATGCAAAGATGCTGAAACGGAATGTCTCGACTGCAAGACTTCGTCTCAAGAGACCCCAAAAACACGTGCGATCCCTGGCTTTACAAGAAGTTCCGATGGCTTCTACACGCGCGCTTCGCGGCCTCGTCGTGCTGGCTGCACCTCGGCCACAATTTTGTACACTTGGAAAAGAGCCTGTGGGGGTCGTGCGTGTTACGACATGCCAGTGTATCGCTTTTCTAGGTTGCCTTCGGCTTCCTGGCTGGTCCTTCCTTCGTCTCTGGCCCTCGGCAGTAACTGGACTGCATGTTGATTTGCTGTGTAGTTTTCATTGGTTTGATACGAACTGCCAGCATCGACTGGAGCACCACTGAAGGCCAAGTATTCGCGTTCTTCGCCGCGAGTGGAACTCAGCTTCTGTATGTGTCCCAAGCTATCTCTGCATGTGGATTGATGTCATGAATGACAGTTCAGCCCTGCCAGTCTGCCTGTGTAATGCAGCTGGGTGGCTGAGGGCTTGGCCAAGGAAGTGCGTGGCATGTTCGGTAGCTCTCAACAGCAAAATGTGCTGCTCGGGGGCAGGCTGAGGGAGAAGCCAAAATACTTCCACTGTCTGTGTTTGGTTGTCTTGTTTGTCACAAAAGCTCTGAGGAGCTTTTGGCAGTTCTTGATTACCAAGTCAGACCAAGTCACCCGTAGTAGTGAGGCAAGAGGTCAAAAAAGCGTTCGGTCCTTAAGCAGCGGTAAAGGTGGGGAGGCAGACCTTTTCTCGCACTCCTGAAATGTGATCGATTCAACAAGGGGGTTTGCGTCATTGACAGGGGGGGAGGCCAGCGCCCCCTCGTCTGTTTCAGGTCCCCCCAGCCCCCGGCCTGCGTTCCGGTCCCTTTCCCGGGCTTTGGGGTGCTGTTGTGTCTTGCCATTCGCAGTAAAATTTTTGGCATGCGGCTGCAAAAAAGTCTCCCGCCTGCTATTGTTAAACCAGATTAAACAACAAATCGCCATGTGCAACATGCTTGCTGCTCTCGTCCCAAGGCAGGAGAAGGGCCGGCAGAGGCCGCCTGAGAGTTTTGGGAAACTTGACCGCAAAGAGCAGAGCCCGAGAGTTCTTCTCCCTCTCGAGGAAGTCGAAGAGCGCCACTTGCCACTTCCGGAGGCAGTACCGCAAGGCAAACATGAGAAAATAGAGTACGGAGCACGCTGTGAGGCAACCCACTTTGTGGAAGAAGAGGCTGCAGGCCGTGCAGTGCTGAACTGGCATGCGGCGCTTTGGCCAGAGTCTTCTTGAATCCTTGCAGGTTGCATCGAAGAAGGCTGCACTGTGGAAGACATCACGAGGATCCAGCACAAGCTTGAAACCGATGAAGGCGTCGTCAACCAGCAAGTGGGGTTGCGCGGTGACCTGCTTGAACTGCTCAGGAAGAATCAGGGAAGCTATCGAGATGCTCCAGGCACACCCTGTTGCCTAAAGCAGGGTAACTCTGTTGTCAGCAGTTTCGAGGTTGCCCGCGACTCCTTTTCGGTGGATTCTTCACCGGCCTCTCGGACATCAGCAACAGTGCAGCGTGCTCGTCCGGCATTCCGCCATCTCCAGCTGTATCAAGCTGTCACGCCTGCAGGGCATCGGTCTTCTCCGGATGTCGCTAAGCAGAATCCACAGCCCCTCGGAGCAAAGCCGTCCTCGATCGTCCCCCTAGACTCAGTCTGCGCGCAGCCGAGGCCTGAACAATAAGCTCCAAGGCCTGATCAGTTCGCAGGGCGAGCAGATCGCCAAGGTGCCTCTCAACATCGCATTGTGTAGGGAAACGGGAACCGCTCAGTTAAAGCGCACACTTGTGCACACTTGCCCGCTTGCAAAGACACACAACGAAAAGTTGGCAAGTGGACGGCACCACTTGCACGCTTGAAAAGTTGCATAATGCTAAGCGTTCGCAAGTGGCGGAACCACTTGCACACTTGCCCACCGTGGACCCCCCACAGCGCACACTTGCCTCACTTGACGCACTTGACGCACTTAACTCGGTTTAGGGTTTAGGGCAGAGTTTGGGGGTGCAGGGTTTAGGGGTCCGTTTAGGGTTTATGGTTTAGGGTTTGGGGTTTAGGGGTTTGGGGTTTGAGGTTCAGGGCTTTGGGTTTAGAGTTTAGGGTTTAGGGCTTTGGGTTTGGAGTTTAGGGTTTAAGGATGAGGTTTGGGGTTCAAGCGGCAAGTGGCAGGGTTCAAGTGTGTCAAGTGGCCAAGTGTGTCAGGTGTGCGCTGTGGTGGGTCAAGCGGGGGCAAGCGTGCAAGTGGTGCGAACACTTAGCCGCAGCCTTTGCGCGAATTCTCAAGTGTGCAAGGGGTTTGGTCAACTTGCGAAACGTTTAGCGTTTACCTCAACTATCAAGTGTGCACGTGATTTCGTCCATTTGAATAGATAGCGGTTCCCGTTTCGGCGAGCACTGCGACATCAGACATTCGACCTGCGACGGTGTAGACTTGGCGTCACCAGGAGTTCGGGGCCTACCTCGCATTCGGCCACGGAGACACTGGCGGCTTCTTGAGCCTGAACAAGTCACCCCAAGTGGCGTAGAGGCTTAATCCTCCGGTTGGGAGGACATGTACAAAGCAGAGACAGTTCACAGGGCGGAGGTGCACCTTTGATGCTGCACGCACCTGCATTCTAATTCGAGAGCGGGGAGCTCTTATGGCACCTTGCTTGCATGGGCCCTCGGCATTGTTTCCAGCACTGTGGCACACGCCAGCTGCACAGCTGCGCAGCACGCAAAGCCTGGACCCGGCTGCGCCGTGCCGAATGCGGCAAAGGCCAACCGCAGGCAGAATCCTAGTCACCATAACCAGCAGAAGCGAACCGAATCGAACAGTACTGAATGCCTATGTCAGCAAGAAGCCAAGGATGGATTCTCTCGAATATGCGTTGTGCCAGATTTGAATTTTGTGAAGCCCAGGCGTAAGTGCGAGTAGAGCAGGACCGGGGATTCTCCTATCGGAGACTTAGTGGAAGCTTGGGTCCTGGAGTCCTCTTGGAGTGGATGGGGTTCCGTGTTGGGATGCTGGCTTGGAGCTGGCGTCCTGCGCCCCAGAGAATGCCAGTCCAAGCTCTACTCCGATCTGGGAAGCCTGGGAATGTACCGTGCAGGTCGACATTGACAGCAGCCTGCGCTGTGCAAGGTCCACGAAGAGATGTGCAGACAGCAAGCTGGGCACACGATGGCACAATATACGGCACACGTAGCGATCATGTGTGTACAGCCATGCTAGCATTGGTTTGCCCAGCTTGTCTCAGAGACTTCGTGGCAAAGCGTTGATGTGGTTGCGGCGTGTCAAGAGTTCCAAGATACAGAAGGCACGGGGTGGACCGAGGATCGCTGAAGATCGCTGAAGTCTTGAGGCTGAGGGGATCTGAACGGTAAGAGGTCAGCTTCGGCTTTTTCTTGCATTCATGTGTGCTCGGCAAACCCTGTACATGTGCCTCGGCATGGCCTGCCAATGTGTAGCTGAAAGATCCAGAACCACGTGATCTTGATCCGTGTGACAGCTTGCGCACACTTTGCCCTGCGTCGAGAAAGAGGTCTGGCAACTGTCCCCTGGAGATCTTTTTTGGAATGTAGTTCGGGGGGAAGAAGGGCGTTCTGGAGCCAAGCCTGGCAAGTTGTTTTGGCCATTCGCCGGGGTCAGCTCACAGAGGAGTCGGTTTAGGGTTGTAAAAGGGTTGTGGTGGGAAATTGCAGGCTGGGATGGATGCTTTTGAGTGATGGGAAGGCTTCTAATAGGCCTTCCGTGCTCTGTTGAGCGTTTCTTAGAGTGCTTTGCCATGAATTCAACAGTCTCGAGTGGTTGACGAAGTCAAGATTTGCTATGCATCGTCTGTTGTCAGGACTTACGATTTGCCATCCATCATCTCATTGTTTAACGTCCAGTGGGGGTTGCCATGCATCACTTTTTCGGGGTTTAGGGTATGCAATTTGTAATTTTATTTTTGGGTTCAAGGTTTGCTATCCATTTTTTACTTTGATCTTCAGCGTTTGTCATCCATCGCTGTTTTTTGTTCTTATGACTTTTTTTCGTATTTCTTTTAGGTTTGCCATCTGTCATTTCTGCTCGGGGTTAAACGTTGCAAGCGGGTTCGTTAACAGGGACGATTTTACAGTGTTTTCCACTTCCTTCTGGGTCAGGGCCTCTTCGAGTTAAATTCGGGTTGCTAAAAAGCGTGGCAGTACGATACATTCGCTACATTTTTAGACTTAACTCTACAAGCTTTAATTGTTACTGTGATTGCTTGTCAGGACTTCCCCGGCGCAGGAACTCTACGGGAGTTTCTGCGCCCTTATTTGCTGCGTTTTTGAAGATTGCTTTCTTGGGTGTTTGGGGGGGGGGAGTGGGGGGGATAATGACGTACTTGTCGGCCGTTTGTTTTGAGCGAGCGGCGCCACTCAGACGAAGTCGGCACAAGTTGAGCCTCAAGCATCTACCCTAAAAGCAAAACCACCAACACCCGCGAGGCCAGACCTAATACATTCTAAGGGAACCCTGAGACAGATATCGCAGAGCCCTTCTATCTAGAGAAAATAAATAAACCGAGAAACCCCTGGGTGTCGGTATTGTTTAAGTCCAGAAGCAACTGCAAAGGTTGCAGCAAGCTCAAGGAACGGCACCTCGTTTCAGTGCTGGGTTGGGGACTTACAGTGGCAAGTCAAGTGAAAACCCTGAACTGTGACCGCAATCTACCTGAACATAACCTTTCCGAAACCTTTTTTTTCCCTGGCACAAAAACACGAAATCCCGAAAAATACGAGTCGAAACCACCCCTGTTCGTGAACCCGCTGGGAATCCTAGGAGGGGAGGGTGCAGAGCATCGTTTTTCTTATGAAGACAAGAAGACAGCCATGGGAGGGGTGCAGTACAGGTGACTGTTATCAAATAATATTTGAAAGCGTCCTGTCGAGTTGTCCTTGTCATACAGAAGGTCAGGTCTTGGAAGGTGCTGTGCTGAGCTTCTTTGCGCAAGCCGTGGTTCAATCGTTGTCTTGGGCCACGATCGAACTCTGCAGTTGATAATAAGTCTGGTATTTCGACAAGAAAGCACACTAGCAGTAGAAACGACCATAGCCAGTGAACACTTAAAGTAGCTCCGACGGATTGAAAGTTGCAGGCGTTGGGGAAGCAGCAGACCTCGTCCGCTTCAATAGGGTTGCAGACAGAGGCCCGGACTGTTCTTTGAGTTCGATCTGTAGCACTGTCCACATAGATACTACAGGAATGACATTGCGAAGTTCTGAATTGAGCGCACGTTCTGGGGTTCGCTATTGCGACTGTTCATATATGTGGCCGTTTGCCTTTCCAAGCAGGGTTATTCATTCGGTTGTGTTTGGTACACAAAAGGATGCTAGAAGGCGCTACATGCCAAAAGGACATCTGTCATCTGACGCTCTTACGAGTTTGGCGGTGGCAGTTTGCTTGCACATGCACCAGGATGGAATCATCGACGAGCTCGAAGGCCAAGTCGAGATGCTGGCGCAGCAGCTGCGCAGCAAGGACCGGCACCCGTTTGCAGTGGATGCGACTCGAGAATCGGAGGCCAGGGATCCTGCTTGGCTCGAAGACTGCGCACACGTTTGGCCGTTAAACATTCAGCAACTTTCCAAGTTCTAGCATCAGACATCAACGTTAGTGGAGTGTACATGCTCACTGAAGTAGCTCTCCAGCCATCAATTTCTGCAGCCTCCTACTAACTTGCAGTCGCGGCCCTGGGGCATAGTGCCAATGGTGCTGCTGGGATCTTTTCTTTGGCTACGTACCAATTTGCAGAAGCAAGTCCCAACGCATGTCCGGAGAAGCGCTGCAATGCATCAAGGAAACCGATAATTGCAGCAACTGCTCCAAAATGCGGTGTCCGCTAGCCGCCATCCCTGCAAGATCGCATCCAGCCGTTCGGAAAACCGCATTGGACCCAAGCTGTCTCCGAAAATTCCGCAACGCAGAGGAGGCCATGACCCGCAAACACCGCACTCACCACACTTTTTGTTTGGACCAGGATACACCTCACTCCTCTGGAGCATTCTGGATTGCGAGGCTTGGGGAGCACACGGAAGCCGAGAGCAAAATCCGACAACGCTGATCTCGCCACAAAATGGCACCACACAAGAAGCCTGATTTGGCAACTTGATCTCCAAGGCCAAAAGCTGCATGCCGTTGTATACAGTAACTGCGTGACACGACCCTCTCCGGGTCGGGTCCGGAAGGGTCAGAAGCCAGATCATAAATGAAGCTACTACGGTCAACATTCGGAAACTCCACGGCTATGCCCCGTACGATCCGAAAGAGATATTAATATTCATTTGCAGGCACAAAACTGCAAGGGCAGCCTCGCAACAATACCCGCCTTACAAAATTGGGAGTACTAGCCTGACCCTCCAGCTGTGGCGCTTCTTCTATCGATACTGTCGTAATATACCATACAGAACCCCAGCACTACTAGCATTTAATAAAGCGCCGGGGGTTAGGACGAGCAAACATCGCTGTCCGTAAAGTTAGTATGATGGCCTAAGAAACTGCAAACTACCTAAAGGCGGTCAAAAAGGCTTAGTTTGAAGTATAGATGTAACTCGTAAGTAAGAGAAATGGTCGTTCACCGTCCGAATCTTAGTGTAAAAGCCAGATCAAGTTATCTTATCCTCGATGAACAGTGTAGGCCTTGCTCAACTCGCTGAAACAGCCATGGCAGATCATGGCAGTCCGCACAAGCCCTCGGGTGGCAATTCCAACCATGAATCTCCACTTTCTTCAGAGCCATGGCCTCCAAACACTCGGCGATTTGTCCACTGCTGTTGCAGAGCGCAGATTGGCAGCTTGATTCAAGGCCGCATGCCGTTATCGGTTCGAAGGAGCAAAATCAAGAATTATCAAGAAACATGTTGCCCCAATTGAACCGAAAAGTAGCCCGGAACGCGACCTCGTCCCTCTTGAGAACCCTAAGTCTATGTGCGTCGTGCCGACGCGAATTGTTGAATCATTCCTTCTTGAATCTCTCACTTCGGCCGCCGGGGTTGCATGATCAAGGCATTCTTGGCTCGCGTTAATCCCTTATCCGTGAAACGATGCGGGCCAAACTGCTTTGACCTTACCCCAGAACTCGTCCAAATGCTTGGTGATCTCAACATTTCAGAAAGCCGCCATCCAATTCCTTATGCTCGTTCTGGACCCTCGAGTCCATGGCATTCTAAGTTCTAGACCCTGCTGCTGGAACTGGTTCAGCGCTCACGGCAGTGGCGACAACATCCGACTTGGCTTCCACTCGCAACTGAAACAGATGGTTCGAGCGACTTGTGTGGCACCATGAGTCCAAGGTGGAGCCAATGTTGATTGGAGCCTGCCACGGAAAACAGAGTTTGCCACCAGTCCAGCGCATCCACCCATTGTACTGTCAGCAACGGCCCCAGGACAGTGCAAGGCAACCAAGGATGCGCCAACGCCCTGCAGCAAACGCCTTCTGAAGACCCCATCAGGGGAATGCGCAACCACAATCATAAGGTTAAAACTCTCACACGACAACGGCTGACGGTCTGACGAAAGTTGGCAACACTTGACAGCAGCTCAGATGCCGACGGGTAGCAGAAGCATCCTCCACTGTGCCTAACTTCTTTGATCTCTGCAGCCTGGGCATTCAGGAACGTGTCTCGCTTAGCGAAGTACTCGGCCGAGGTACTACTTTTGTAATATCACATGTTTGTGTCGAAAGAGACGACCACGGGGACACCGGCAATTTTCAAAGTAACTTAGGCAGGAGATCACGTCCACAAAGAAATGGAAGAGGCCAGAGTAAGCCTTGGCGCTGTAGGTGTCTCGAGGCATCCCATCCACTGCGTTCAGGCACTGCTGTCCCAGCGATGTGTTCAACAGTGTTCAGGGCAGCTAGATCACCATGGGATTGACCTTCGTGTGGAAAACCGATGGCACGGATCCAGTCAACGTTTGTTTCTATGCAAGGGCTAACGGTAACGCTCCGGTTTTTGCTGACCACATCAGCATTTTCTCCCAAAGCTTGCTGGTCATGCCGAGCTTGTGAGTCGTGCTCTCGTCTGCTCGAAGGACTTCGAGCTGCAACAGGTCAAGGACACCCTTCATAATAATTATTGTTATTGCTGCTTGACCTTGTTGGCGCAATCCAGCGGCACATTGAGCAGTTCGCGGTTGCCAAGCTCGTGAGAGCTCTTGCTCCTGAATCGTCTGAGACATGGACTGAACCGTCTGAAGGACAGCCTCGAAGCGGTGCAGGCACAGCGGGGGCGGCAGCTGACTCGGCCTGAAGACGGCAGTCGCCTGCAGCCTGCGGTAGTCTGCAGTTGTGTCCGGCAGCTCGGTCCCAGGACTGCGCACGAGCTCGCGGACGTGGAGTCCTTGCAATCCCGGACAGGCCCCTCTCTCCCGCAATCCTCAGACTTTGGAGTTCTGCACTGGGAAGGTCCGCTTCGAGGTTCCTAAGCGGACGCACAAACCAAAAGGCACAAGTGATTTCGCGTGAGCTCAGGCTTTCTGTCGGACTTGGTCAACCGCTTTGAGGACGTGGCACTGTGCCGGTCCGAAGAGACAGAAACCGCTCTTCAAACTGGCCGTTGACAGGACAAGACTATGGCGCTCGAGAAGGAGCTCAAGGCACTCTTCTTGTGAAGCATCCAGGCGTTGAGTCCGAAAGTATGGTTTGTTCTGTGTTCAACAGGAAATGAGGGAAGACCGGGCCGTCGATGCTGCGCGGCAAAAGATAGTGGAGGTGTGGTCGCAAGCTGACCAGGCTTTGCTATGAACCAGTGTTCCTCATTTTGACGCAGTTTCGACAGATATTTTTCAAATCCCAGGCCGCCACTGGTCTCACAAGCGCCAACTAAATGCCCTCCACTACCTCATCAGGATTCATGACACAAGTACGCTAGCGAGCACCTGAGTTGGAAAAATGGATTCAGTCTTGGATGAGCAAGCATTAGCTGCATCGAAAGAAACAACACGACCCAGAAGAAGAGCCGTTAGTTTCCGGTAGCACGAGCCGTGACAGTTATGTCGCCTCTTCGTCCCCGGTGCTGGAGAAGTTGTGTCCTTGGTTCTCTGGCACGTGGTCGTTGGTATGGACGTTGTGCACCCTCTGTGCTTTGCGCTCCTCTTCCTCGACACTGGCGGCCGCAAACAGTTTGTCTGGTCGGGGTTTGGGTTCCATCCCGAGCGCACAGTGGCACAGGGTGTCTCAGGCTTGTTGAAATCATACTGTACCTTCCCTCTGCGTAACTGACATCGGCTCATATCGGCTCCTGTTCCCATGCGCTCACTCACACTCATACCCCGCACTTGCGAACTGATTAACGTGATTCGTGATGGTTTACTACACAATCCCTGTTAACGAGCCGATGATCTTGATGATGATGATGACGACGATGGATTTTGGCACTATCACTAGTGTATGTGGGCCACCAGCACTGGCAAAACAGACAAGGAATGCTGCAGAACAAGGTGAGCTGATAGATAGGCGAAGGCTTTACGTCGCAACGATTTCGCATCATGTGTAACTCATTGGCCTGGGCGACAAGTCCGATCCAGAAGCGTGCAAGTTCAACGTTTCGGAACGACTACTTGCAAATCGCCCAGCTATTGGCAGCTGTGCACCAACCCCAACAGGATCGTATACAAGTTGTGTACGTGGTCTGGATGTATCTATAGCTGCTCGCATGCATGCAGGTTGTCACATCATTTCATATCTGAATCTGTCCGTATGGATCGGCGTAGAACATCGTAGAACTTTTCCAGTGGCCCTCTGCATTCGCGGCAGAAAGCGCGGTCAATTTGCGTTGCTTTAAGATGTGTAACCTGGAACAAGCGGAGGCCCCAAAGTGACATTCCTGAAATGGCCAGGATGCTGCGCACCAGAATGCTGAAGCGCTGCAACAAAGTAAAGAAGAGGCGCTGTGGGATGCTAGATGCTCTGGGTCTAGGGAGTCTTCAAGGACACACGTTGCGGCAAGGTGGAGAGCATGAAGCTCCTGCTGCGAGACACCAAGAAAGAGCATAACAAAAGAGTCCAGGACCTTTTGCATACTTCACGCTGCCCCAGTTGTTTCTGGCGCCCAGCACTTTGAGAAAAGACCTGCAACAACCGATTCGATCTGGCTTGATGTCTATTATTAGCGCCTCGGAATCAATGCAAGAGAGCTCATTCGCTGGACCTTCGTCGCTACCGTCACCACCAGAGTAACACTCATGATGGACCCGAAGTGACGAAGACATGCTTCAATCACCTTCATTTGATCACGCGCTAGTGCGGTGAGATCCTTTCCCAAGTCGGCCGAAACTCCGGGCTCCCATTCTGCGTGGGTATCCACACATGCAGGGTGCTGCCCCCACACATTTCCAGCAGCGGCTGCAGCGGCGCCAGCAGCAGCAGCAGCCTCCTCCTCCTCCTCCTCCTCCTCCTCACCATCATGATCATCATGATCATCATCATCACCACCACCACCACCATCAGCAGCAGGACCACCACCACCACCACCACCACCACCATTTTCACCACCTTCACCACCATCACCTTCACTGTCACCGTCACAGTCACCATCACCGTCACCGTCATCGTCACCGTCATCATCATCATCATCACCATCATCATCATCATCCACAACCACCATCACCATCATCGTCATCATCAACATCACCACCATCATCATCATCGTCATCACTGTCGCCATCACCATCATCATCATCATCACCATCATCAACATCATCAACATCATCACCACAACCGTCATCATCATCGTCATCGTCTGCGTCAGCATCATCAACATCACCAGCATCATCACTGGCGCTTGTATTCGCTACCAGTGTCTTCGCCGTTTAGTATCACCACCTTCAGCACGCTAGCCGAATCGCAGTTTTACAGCGTTTCAGTGCTGGGATTCGCTGTCACACAGGGCATTCCTACATGTAGGCCTACATATGAAGGCGTGATGGAAAGCATGTGCTTGGCGATTTGATCAATCTCATGTTATGATACAGGGGATGTCGAAAGAGCTGGGAAATGGCCGAAAGCGTTGGCAAGCCTGAGCTACTCGTAGCAGCATGTGCAGCGTGACGCAACACGCGGAACATCCGATGTCCAGTGTCGTCGGGCGCTACACCGATAGAGCTGCGCATCGCAACTCTCTGTAGACGTGCCTTCCCGCCACCTATCTCCACCCCCCATTGCCCTGCCCACTGCTGCCCCATCCTGCATTGCTATAACTGGTCCTTCCAGGGGTGCTATGGCGGTCTTTTTGATGCGACCAGGACCTTCTCAAGCAAATTCAGCTGGCGCGCGGCCGGCGAACAGACACCAAGTCAAAGGAGGATTGATTGCTGCATGCCCCATCGGAAGTATTTATAGCACGCGAAGAGGGCCTGTGCGCACGAAGCCTTTCAAAGCACAGCCACGGCTCTGCAACTCCGACTTTGAGGAGCAGGAGCGACTTGAACAGCTTCGCGATGAGCTCCGGGAGCTGAAGGCGCAGGGTGTCGAGAACAGTTCTAATTTGTCCATCACTGCTGATGAGCCTCAGGACCTGAACGGTCGTTTAGTCGAGCGCCTGGGCCACGAAAGGGCTGAGCATGCGGGGAGGCCTAGATTGCCCCGAGGATCATCCATCAAACTCTCGTGGACCCGCGAACTGACCCGGGGTCTTGGTGTTCCGGTCATGGCGTCTGTCTCTGTGTGTGTGTGTGTGTTGGGGTCCAGGTGTGATGGTGGTGCACCGCTTTCCGGTTTCGGTTTGCGGTTGGGGTAGGTCGGGCAAATGGCCAGCGCACACCACGAGCCCTAAACTGCGACTAACAGCCGTATGTACTTGTGTGTCCAGGCCAGTGGTTGTTGCTTCAGGTTCGGCTGTTGCGGTGCTGGCCGCCGCGCCGACAGCCTTCAAACCACTTGGTTGCTGCTTTCTCTGCCGTTCTCTTGTGCGCGCTGCGGGGAATGTGGAGCCAGACGTCCGGCCTGTTGTCAGAACTACTCCGATGAATTTCGCCCTTTGCCAAATCTCGTTGGCCGCTTGCCTGTGCCACAGAGTTCGCCCCTGGTGCATGTTGGGGTACGCGCAGGGCCCATTACAGAGTGTTTTGCCAGACATGAGTGCAGTTGCTACCGTTGGTGCCATGCTGGCGCAACAGGATGCGAATGGGACAGGGCAGCTGGCGTCCCTATGGCTGGGCTTTGCCAATATGTTGCGGCATGACAGCGACATGCTGCGCGCTTGAGGAGACGCTTGTGGCATTCACTTGAAACCACTTTTCCAGGACCGGGCAGCTTCAACATTGGCGCAGGAGATGGTGGATCTCATGCTGCGCAAATCAAGGGTGGCGTCCAGGTGCTCCGTCTCTGGAACAGCTGCAAATTTTTCTCGAGAGCCTGGTTGAAGGGGCATACCTTGATAGAGGCCGCAACCGCAAGCGCTCGGCTCTGGGTGTCTTTTCTGCGCTTGGTTTCGCTGCCTTCAAGTTTGAGCTTTCTGTGCTGGACAAGCTAGCGAAGTGCCCTCTGGTGCTTGCTTGGCGTGATGCAGGAAAGTGAACGTGACGTGTTCAAGGAGGCCCCTCCGTTATCCTTGGTAATGGTGCACCGGTTGGAGTCGGCCTTCGTCAATGATCCTGGTGACGAGGTCGACGTGCTGGGCGTATTCCTGGTTATGTTATGGGCCAGCCTTCGTTGGCCAGGTGTCCAAGCACTTTTATAGCTTTCTTCTGTCGTGCTTGACTACCGTGCACTGGCGTCCTGGTGCTGGAGAACGAGGGTGAGCCAGCATGCCACCTTGTCAGACGTTCGACAAGGTTGCATCGCGAGGATATCCCCTCACCCGTTTGGAAGAACGGGCTTGGTTGAAGCTGGGGGAGCCACGTGCTCGTCAGGTCAAATCATCTGCGGAAGAAAAGCGGTCGTTGGTTTATTTATTCTTCCACTTCATCGAGGCGGTCAAGCCACTTTATCTGGTGGAAAGACATGGACAGCCCCGCTTGGCCGCGGCAGACGCTTTTGCATCGCACCGCCGTGCTGGCATAAGCGGTTGGTGGCTGCCCGCAGGTGTGCTTCTTTGCGTCAAAGCTGCGTTGGTCCTCCTATCAGACTCCTATCAGTTCACCATTGATGCATTGCCAGCTTGGTTCAGAGCAGACGTGCTGGAGCAAGGTACCAACCTTCAATAAATGATCTGTGCACTGGAGGCCCTGCCGGAGTTGGTTCTTTTGGCTCTACTACAGCGCAGGAAGGACTTTCGCTCCAAAGTTGGTTGCTTGGTCTTCCGTCAGTTTTCTGACAACATGCGAACTATAGGAGCCTTTGCCATCAGTTGTTCAAGCTTGGGCGCTTTCGGCTTGAACGAGGGAACGGAATCCATGGGCTGATGCCCTGTTTCGGGGGCCGGATTTGATCCTCGTTTTTGGTCCGAGCTGCGAGATGGGCAGCCGTGTTGGACCGACTGGCAAAGACTCCTCACTTCGGGCAGGCCCGATGCCTTGCCAGATAGAATGATGACAACCAAGTCAGGAAAGCCTCCTGCACCAGCAGAGAGGCTGCCCAGTCTGCTGTTCCGTGCGTTTGATGTGCCGATTGTCAACAGCGTTGCATCTTAAGAGTGGATGCGCCGCTGAAGGGGTGTGCTTGTCGCATGGTTAGCAGAGTTGTGTATGAGTGTATGCTTATGCCGTCCTTCACTTTGAAGGTTGGTGTAAAGTTTTGTGCTACCGAAAGGTGTTTGGCTGCGGCTACGCGTGGGGCTGGATTTCCGTCCATGTAGCTGTAAGTCGGCTGATTAGTGTTGGTAGGTGTGCGCTTGGGTTCTGCTGTTGCGTTGCTGGCCGCCGCGTAAATCACCCGCCCGCCCGCCCCCGTTACATCTGTTATATGATCACAAGTGTGACAGTCAGCGAATTTTCGGGCCAGATGGCCCGCTGTTGCAGCTAGGGCTGGGAGGCCCGCTGGTGGACAGATTGCCTTAGACGTCGGAAAGCTCACGATATATTTGTGCAACCAAACACCATGTTTCTGTCTGTGCATGCCGTAAGTCGGCTGCTGGATTAGGGTTCTAGAACGGCTGAGACGAATCGCCAGAAAAAATCACCGGGTAACACGACAGTCTAGGGCCTGTGGGGCTGATAAATGGAAAGTTAAACGGGGCGGGTCCCCTCAGCCCCTTTGCCGGCCGATCTACAGAAAGGTTCCGGAACAAAAGCCAACCTAGTCAATTTACTGCTACTCCTACTGCTGCTGGCGCTGGCGTTGGCGCTGTCAGCAAAACTGCGCAGCAGGTGGCGGCTGAGGGAGGAAGCTTCCGTAGAAATCGTAGAACACCTTCTGCGTGCTTGTATATTGCTCCTAGTTGTGGGGGTGTACACTGAAAAATGAGAACCGCACGCGACTAGGCCCTAGGCCCTATAATCTCGCCAGCTTTCGCGGCCCTCTCTCAAGTTGGGTGTAAGCTTGAGTGAGCTGAAACCCGTGCATCGTTGGCCCGCATTGTCCGTTTCTCCTCAGGCCGAGGCCCGGCAGCAGCTTTTCCGCTCCGAGCGGGAGCGCGGCATTCTGGAGCAGCGCACAGAAAACCTCTCCGAGCAGGCGAATTATTGCCGGCCCGTACGGATGTTTCAGTGTATGCCCACCTCCTGTGCAGCTCATCGTGCTGGCGGAAGTCAACGACAGCTTGGAGCATCTGCACGAGCAGGCAAACGCCAAGTGTTCCAGTTGCAAAGTCGCACAGATTTTGGTACCCGGACCCCAGTTGCTTCCTGAACTAACAGCAGATTATGCAGCTCTGAATGCGGAGCCTTCCGGTCGAGTTTCTATATTCTGAACCGATCATCGATCTGTTTTGCAGGAAACTTTGCCGGCTGGCAAGGCACCTTGATCCATGTGGCTCTGCAGGCACTGCGATTGTCCCTGTACAGGATTGGAATGTGCCTGGCTGTACAACCAAGCCACAAGAATTCATCGTCTCAGTGCTTCGCGTACGACAGCGGTGATGGAACAGCCATTCCACGAGTTGTAAGGCCTGTCGCTGTAACAGGTGGACCCTTTACATGGCTGCGGAGCAATAGGTGAACGGTGTCTGGTACAGCCGATTGCAGCAGCATTGCCATTTTCTCCTGTAGGAAGTACACCCGAAATGCCTGTTAGCCGTCCGACATCGCACTTTTGAGCTGAAGTCACCGCTAAGCATGTCGAGGCACTGGGGGTGCATGAACATTCGACAAATAGGTCCGGTGTCCTGCTTTCTGTGAAACTGCACAGACAGCTGCGGAACGAGACAAGGTCAGGCTTGGGCTGGCTGTCAGGGATCGCAAGGCAACATACAAGCCTGCCTACAGCACTAGAAGCTGACCTTGCCGATCCATGTCATGAGATGCTCTAAAAATTGCTCTGCTTTCACAGTGACTAAGCAATCCAGTTCATCGAGAGGCTTATAACTGCCATGGCTACTATACTGATAACATCTATGCCAATGTTGTGCTTGTGATATCTTATGAGGGTTGCGCTCGATGCATCAATGGCGAGTGTTTTGATCGCGCTGACTCATGCGCGCAGGCGCGCACAGCGCTTCTGCCCCCATATCGCAGCGCTTTGCCCCCCCAAAACCAGGCATGAGCATCATGAGTATTCATGTGGGCCTGGCACGAAGAGCTTGATTTTAGACGTTTCATGCCGAGGCGTCCCTGCGGAATTCCTGATTTCCTTTCAAGATCAGCTTGTAAAAACGGACATTTTCGGCACGGGCAGCCGGAGACACCGGGACCCAAAGGTTCGGTGTTAGCAACACAGCGACCCGCCCTGCTGCGGTGCTTCCGCCGGGGCTGGCACCCAGACTCAGAGCCGGCCGCCGGCCACAGTGTCTACATAAACATACGCCAAACACAGCCTGACTGATGCTGACGATGCTGGCCCAAGTTGGTGGCTCGGCAAAATCCGTCCTGGAGTTATCTTGGCCGCTAATGTGGTGCTACCAACGGCCCACGATGTCTGATGCGAAATTCACTGGGGAAAGACGGCTGAATTTCAAAGTCCTCGGCTCGGCACTGGGACGTGAAGACGGCTTGAGGCCCACAGCAAATTGAAGGGCTGACGCTGCGGATCCCGCCAGGGGTGGAGCTTTTGCATCACCCCCGCCTGCACACGCTAGGTTTATCAATCATGTAAAGCAGGGTGGCATCGTGGTTTGAGCGTCTGCGCTGTGCATGAGAGTGGCATTGAATGGTGGCCAGAAGCGCGCCCGCACCCCCTGCACCCCCCGCACCACCTGCACGCCAAGACCCAGCACCCCGGACCCTGGACCACCCGTACCCCACCGCACCCACCGCACCCGCAGCACCCCCGGCTCCCCCCGCACCCCCTGCATCCCTCCGCACCGCCCGCATCTTTCGCACCCTCCGTTGTGGTCGTAGAACATAACACAACATATAAGGAGTTTCATGACATATAACAAGGAATGGACAATATGTTTAATATAAGTATACTATACATTGACTAATATACAGCACATAAGACATGATATGTACGTGTATATAGATATACATATATATATATATATACACACATATATATATATATGGTCGCCCCCCCTCCCATGACATGCACCTACTTGTATCCATAAAACCTCGGCAGGCACGATAAAAATGGCTTTTTTCCCTCGAATCGGTTTTCGATGCGTTTTAAAAAAGCAGCTTGACAGTGACTCTAGTTGGATTTCTTGTATCGACAGTGTTAAGATAAATATTAGTATGAGTATTCATATTAGCATCGGTGTGTTGATTAGTATTAGTATTAATACAAATATTCAGGTTCATGTTCCTACGAATAGAAGTATTCATAACT